AAAACATAGATCCTTTAGGTTTCATGTGAACTTAAGGGTTTTTAAGTTTATTTGTTTTACCTAAATCCTATCAATTATAACACAAAGGTATGTATTCCAATCCATGTGATTTTTTATTACACCTAGTTACTTTATAATTTTCATAGTATGTTGTTATTATGAGAAAAAGCCATAAATCTCTAGGTTACATGTGCCCATAAAGTAGTTTTATGATTCCGTTGCGTATTCTATTTGTTTTCTAACCTAGAAAATGATTGGTTTTCTAGATTCCTTCTATGTACTTGTGGAATTTCACATAAAAAATTATGGGCACATGCAACCTATAAAATCTATGGATTTTCTCATAATAGTAACATACTTTGAAAAACTAAATAACCTAGAAAAAAATTGACAATCACAAAGGATTTGATTACATACCTTATTGCTATTATCGAAAATAACATTGTACTTTGAAGAGCTCTTGGAATAAAAGCCCCAATAATATGGAAGCCTCTAATGAATCACACCCAAACCCTAGGATCGAAAATAGAGAGAGGGATAGGAATTTCAAAAATCCTTGTGTTTGTGTAGCGTTCTTGAGTATGATGGATGTCCCTATTTATAGTTGTAGTAAATCCTAGTTTGAATACAAGATAATAATATTATATTACAATTCAAAATCACTTTCCTTATCAACCAATGAGGCTTCTAGAAGCCCTAGAAATGGACTCCTAAACTGTCCCCTCCTAGGGAGGTTCTAGAATGCTTCCTTGTTCAACTTTTTAACAATTGCACTCTAACTTTTAGACTCATTAGTTAATTCTAATTAATCCAAAACAATTAATTAAATTAACTCAGATTAATTCTTAATTAACAATTTTCATTTCTAATTAATATATTAATCCTTTAATATATTAATAAATTATATATCTCTCTCTCATTATCAATACAAACTATTTTATGGTTGTGAGGGCAAGCCAAAAATGACTTTGCTATTATTCACTCAATATACCAAATTTATTTAAGACCTTAGACATCCTAATCTAATAGAAAGCCCATCACTTAAACCATATTTATTTGAATGACCTCCTTTATAAGAGATAGATAGATATGATACTTAAAGCATAAAAGTAATGTAAATAAATGTAATAAATACTCTAAAATATGCATAAATACATTCTAACACTAAGGAATGAAAAAAATGTTGTGAGGGGCATACACAGATGTCATGAAGAGACAGTCGTAATGTTAGTTTTTAAGGTGTATGGACAACAATAATAACCATAACAAAAACGGTAAACAACATAAGGCTATCTAGTATTGTTATGAGTGAATGGTGACCACCTCACCATCAAAACATTTCACAAAGCTCTTGAAATGGTCAGTAATGAAGTGCCAAGAAAAAGAGAGAAAAAAAAGTGGGGAAAGAAGCAAGAGAAAGATTATCTATCTTTTATGAAGCCCCATGGATTGCTCCACTCCACTCCACACCATAACTAGTTGGAAATGATGTTCACTAGTGAAATATATGCCAAATCATCATCTGCATTAGTTTCCACCCATGAAATATGTAACATATCGTCTAACCTAAGGCCATCAAGAGTACCCACCACTAATCACAAATGCAGTGGGTGGCACATCACTGCCACCTAATCACCATCAACAACCATTAAAGGTTGGTATACCCACCACTACACATCATCTTTTTTTAATTAAAATTAAATTAAAAATATAATAAAAACGCTAGATATTTAATTAAAATAAAAAACATTAAAATTTTAAAAAAGACCAAGCAACTAAATTTTAAAAAAAACATAGAAAAAATACCGAACATTCAAAAATAATCCTAAAATTACATTAAATAAAAGTTCCACAAAAAAACATAATTCAAAGATACTGCTATTCTTCGTTCATGTTGTTTGATACAGATGCTCCAGTGGATCTTCTCCAATATTGAAACACGTTTCAGTGTTTTGAATTTCAATTAATCTTGCTAAATATTCATTCGAATCGGCTATTAACTCTTGAGGTGTGTTACCTATGTCGTTGTCATCGTACGTGCAAATCTCTTTACCTTCATGTTCAATAATCATATTATGCATTATAATATATACATGCATTATTCGTTTTAACTTTTCCATATCCCAAAGTCGTGCAACGTAATTCACTACATGACATGTCTGCTTGAGGAGTCCAAATTCCCTCTCTATATTCTTTCTAAAAGATTCTTGTTTTTTTGTGACCAACTTTGCTTTTTCAGTTCAAGGTACCACGTATGCCTTCATAAAGATGGAGTAATTTGGGTATATCCCATCACAAATGTAGTTTTGTACGAATGTCTGTTCACCGTAAAGGACATATCGGGTGCTTTACTCCATATATTGTTGAAAATGGGGGATTGACTAAGAACATTATGGTCATTGTTAGACCATGCAACTCTAAAGAACGAATGACCTATATCATAGTCGACTAACTTATATCACCTCGGATAAATTGACTGCGCCACACATCCGAATAGTTCTCCAACACCCAATGCCTACACTCAAGGCTACCGATCATTCATGGAAATCCATATTTCTCTTCATGTGCCAAATACAATCTCTCAATATCATATGCAGTAGGCTTGCACAAATATCCATTGTGGAAAATCTCATAAACACATGTGTAAAAATGATCTACACACTAATTTGCGGTCCTCTAGATACTTTCAAGTACTTGTATGCTACATCAAAAGTTATATCGTATCCCAAATATCTAAGTGCAATCGTACATTTCTGTATAACACTAAAATTCATTCTACATCTAGCATCTGCTTTTTGTTTAAAATATACACATCACATCGCTAAAACATTACTAATATGTAAAAAATTATGCCTTATTAAGATGGAAACGATGTTCGAATGCGTCATCATTATAAAAACAATTATCAGTAAAATAATCTTATACCAAAAGTTCATGTGTGGTTTGACGATATTGATCGACAACCGTTCTTACATGCGTAACATTTGTACGTTCTTCATCATCTATGTTTTGCACAACATTAAAAAATGTTGCGATAAACTGCTCATTATCATCTAAATCAAAATTTTGTAAAAAAAATATATCTATTTGATATTTTTAAAGAGTATAAAATAGAAGAATAGTTTGAAAATATTATTGTATGAGGCTGTATTAATAAGTTAAAATTTTTTAAAGACAAAACTGCACAAATGGTCCCTATGGTTTGCTGAAAATTACCACTTTGGTCCAAAGAGTTTTGAGCTAGCACCACAGGTCCAACGTTTTCATTTTATTGCGAGTTTGGTCCAATTTACTTTAAAAAAATTTGTAATGACGATTTTACCCTTCTTTTTTGTTTTTTTCATTTATTTATTTATTTAAATATTTTCATAATTAAAAGAAAAATAAAAAAGAAAATAACTCTCTCTCTCTCTCTCATCTGAATTTTTCCTTTCACAATCTAAAATGAAATTAGGGCTTTTAATGGCATTCCCGTGTTCAATGTATGATCGGGCAATGGATAAACGCGTATGAACACAAGACAGTAGAAGGAAAGGAAGCATCATTGCAAGTAGAGGAGAAATCAAACACCAACTTCGATTTTTGGGGGGGGGGGGGTTCGATCATTGGTTCCTTGCTCGTCGCAGGCCAGAAAGGGGACCAAGGGAGGTATCGACGATTGCAGATCGTGAGGAGGGAGAAGTCTCCGGATCGACGAGAGCAAAGCGACGCAGGTGGGAAGAAGCAGCGAGCGGCTGTGATTTCGGGGCTGCTGGGTCGTGGATGAGTAAGGGGAAACACCCTTGTTGTTTGAGTGAACCGAAGAAAGGAAGAAGAACGGGGCAGTGAGGCTATCGTCGAACTTGGTGGGTTCAACGAGGGCTGCTAAAGCAGCTCTTGGTTGCTTGTTTCTGCTCCAGCTGTGGATCGCGAGGAGGAGGAGGGAAGGAGCAATAAAACATCGGTGCAGGTGGGGAGGCTCATGGGTTGGTCGAATGCTCACATGTCGTTTAGTTCTTTTTTTTTATTCTTTTTGATAAAAATTGATAGGCTTAAGCAGGTGTTTGGGGTTAATGTTTTACAGGGGATCCATGGGTGTTTGTTTGTTTTGCTTGATAGAATTCGATGGGTTTAAATCAATAGCTTTAGGTTGGTGTTTTGTTTTGCTTGATAGAAATCGATGGGTTTAAATCAAATTTTGGTGTGTGGGAATGTATGAAGTTTGAAGAACATCATCTGAGTTTCCAAGAAACAAGAGAGGGAAGAGTGAATGTTGGAAGTCTGGAACCCTTGATCGAGAGAGAGAGAGAGAGAGAGAGAGAGAGAGAGAGAGAGAGAGAGAGAGAGAGAGAGAGAGAGAGAGATTTTCTTTTTTATTCAAAACTTGAAATTAGGGAAGAGTGAATGTTGGAAGTCTGGAACCCTTGAATGTACAATATATATTTTTGTTAAATAAAATAAATTAGGGTTGTAATATTGTCTTTTTTATTCAAAACTTGAAATTAGTAGAAGAGAATACATTGTTGTCTATGTCAATTAGACTTTATTTTAGATTATTTTGATGATGTAAGACAACATCGTGTGCAACTTAAATAAACAATTTAGTTAAGAATGTATATATAGCTACATTTTGTTATCGATTGAAGAATTTTGTCACTCGTTCATATTTTATATATTATTTGGCTTACCTTAAAACAAAGACCTGTCTACGCCAGATAACGGGACATTGGGGTGGTCTTCAACTTCGTTGTGGGCAACAGATGTATAACAACGAGCTTTCGTGCTCAGTACTCCGAAGGGCCTAACAAAAACTACACCGTGGACCAAGTTTATTATATACTTGAATACCCTGTTTTTTAAATACATAAATACAAGCATACAAGATTTTGCCTAAATTACAAACAGTAAAAAACAAAGATGGAAAACGGTAAAAGTAGTGGGGAATAGGTCATGTAGGTAGAAAGAAAAGAAGCGGAGTGGGAGTGGGCCCATAAATCTTCCATTTCTTCTAACTTCTTCCCCTTTCCGCTTCCTGTCTTGTTCTTTTCACCTTCTCTCACTCGTACATACAGATACAAAACGTTGGGTAGAAAGATAGAGAGAGAAAGAAAGAAAGAAAGAAATCGCCGTGTTTGATTGTGGGGTGTGTTTCAATACCCAAATTTGGTTCGCTATCGACGGCGGCGCCGGTGGTGGTCCGATATACTTTAAAATGCTTCCATGGCCATGAATTCACTTCAATCAATCATAATCTCTATCTTAATCATTCTCCATCTTCTCTCTTTGACCTCTAATTCCACTCGTCTTCATATGAATCTTTCAAAAACCACCCCCATCCGAGTAATTACTCTTCCCTGAGTCGTCAATTATGCATCGAGATCATCTGGGGTTCTAAATTGTTTACTTTTCTCAGGGTTTATTATATGAAGAGAAAACCAGACTGGGTTCAACGCCGCCGAGCTGTCACAACAAGTGCAACCTCTGCCACCCATGCATGGCGGTGCAGGTGCCGACGATGCCCAGTCACAACCGAGTTAAACCGGTGGACTACTACGATCAACCTCCGGCGTCCTCATCGGGAAACAGGTACTCGAATTACAAGCCACTCGGTTGGAAATGTAGATGTAATGGGCAATTGTATAACCCTTAGTTTTTCATTTTAATTACGAAAATACCCTGACTACTTGAGTATATATTTTCATTTGTAACCTTTGATTTCGCATTTAATTCGTGTCTATTAATCTTCATTTTTATATATTTTGCCACTAAAATGAATCGATGAAAAGGGTATTGTGAGAAATCAGAGAATGATGTGAGTAAATCGTCCTGTGTTGTCTTCCAAAGATTTTGATGTCATGCATTTACAGCTTTTGTTTTGTATGTATCAATTGTCCGATATTATTCTATTATCAACTTATTCTTTGGCTTGACTGTTGTCTGTGGGGATATGAAAATGAAATGAATTTTTTTATTAATTTTTTTGTATTATGTATGAATTTAATACGTATATAGTTTTAACTTATTTTGTATAAACCGTTTTATTATAATTAATCTGTTATATATATATATATATATATATATATATATATATATTATATATATATATATATATATATATATATATGTTATCTAATTTAATTAGAGTCTTGAGAGTATTTAAGCAAGATTTGTGTTATTAATAACTCTATATATGTAAATAGGTTAGTTTGTAAGTTTTATTTTATATCATGGTAGGAAAAAAAACCCGCGTACTTGATAAATACTTTTTTATCCCATCAAACATAATAAATCATTTTTACCCTATGAATGAAATGGACTGTTTCATTAATTCTATGATTTTTATCAATACCAAATTTTTGGTTTTACCAGTTTTTGAGAGCATTGTTAATATTTAAAAGAAATTGTTTGGTTAAAAATATACGACTAAAAATATACGACTAAGAAATAAAAGCATGTGGCTGTAACTTAAAACACCTAAGGCAACATCCACTCCTATTTATTATCACAATAGTTGTTATATCAAAAAAGTGAAAGAATAATATAACTAACAACACCAATTTGGTATTACACTATTTTAGGCCATATTAACATATTTAATGTTAAAACTTATGTGTATAATTAACTTAATTGTATGGTTAGATTTTTACATGAATGTTCATTATTGTAATAGTATGCTTAATATTAAATGCATATTTTTACATGAATGTTCATTATTGTAATAGTACGTTATTAAGAATATTTAATATTTAGAGGGTGTTTGTGATTACTTTTAAAATAACTTTTTTATTTTTAGTTTTTTTAAAAAGTTAAAAGATTGATGTTTGGGAATTAAAAAATAACTTTTTGTCAAGAAGAAAAAGAAAGCTTTTCAAAAGTCATGAAATTTATCTTTTTGTGACTTTTGGCATTTTAAAATGTAAAAAGCTAGGGATGAGCATCGGAACCGGGTATCCGCTTTTGGAACCGGAACCGCCTCGGAACCGCCGGTTTTGGAACTGGAACCGCCTTAAGCGGTTCCGGTTCCGGTTCTCGTTTTTTCGGAACCGCTACCCGTTTGGTACCCGCCGTAACCGGTTTATATATATATATATATATATATATATATATTATATATATATATATATATATATATATATATATATATATATATATATATATATATATATATAGTTAGGTTCAAATGTTTTTGACAACTATTGTGTGCATGAATGCACCAATCACAAATTAGCAAAATATTAAATAATTAATAAATTGTTTGAGGGTATAATAGTAATCTATGCCATATTTAATTATAGAAAATATTCAAAACATTTAATATCCCTTTAAATTAGGAAAATCATTTTTGAAACCCTACAAAATCATCTGCCGACATCACAATTGTTCAGCATCATCGACATCCACAGCTTCTTCGTCTTCCCTAGTCACAGCCGGTGCTCATGCTTTTATCGCCGGAATACGTCCGCACTTGCCTCCGTACACCGACACCACAACCTTCAGACAACAGATAAGTTGATCTGTTGCAAAATTCTAGACATGTATCTTCTTGAACTTTGTTTATGTTTTTGTAATTTACTCCATCTTTTGAGAATAATATGTTAATTGATTTCCGATTATCCACTCTGAGGCAAACTTGATTTGTGATTCTAAATCAAAATGCGTTTTTGAAAATAACTCGAAGCCATAAATGAGAGAATTTAGATCGTGTCTAGAATTTTCCATGAAATTGAAAATTGAAATCTAATCTCGTTTCTTCATCTTCATTAAAAAAGGTGTCATAAGTCCATGAACTTTTGGGTCACTTGTTAGGTATGGTTCCAAATCAAAATGTTTTTAAAATTGTATAGTGATAATAAAATCTGTATGTTTAATAATATATTTATAATTTTTATAGAACCTTGAAACAACTAATTTATGATAATCGTAAGCAACTATCAAATTTAATATTTGACTTTAAACTATCAAATTTATTATTTGGTGATCATCGTCAAACTATTTTTTTTATTTTTTTTATAATTTTACGTAATTTTTCATGTTATAGAACATGATTAGGAGAAGAAAGAAAAAAACAAAAACATATTGAATTTCATATTTTATTTGTTTGAGTTTCATTCACAATGAATTTCGTATTCTTACAGAATCAACAGGTGTAGTAAACTCATTCTTTGAATTAAATTCATACTCATGAATTTACAAAGAATAACATTCTGTCATGGCCTCCATGTGTTCGATAAAATGCTTCAATGAAAAAATAGTTAATAATCTTTAATGTTTTTACTTCGATTTGTTCCTTATTCTTTTCAGAACTATATACCTTAATTCTTTTCAGAACTATATACCTTAATATACTTGATTTGTGATTCTAAATCAAAATGCGTTTTTGAAAATAACTCGAAGCCATAAATGAGAGAATTTAGATCGTGTCTAGAATTTTCCATGAAATTGAAAATTGAAATCTAATCTCGTTTCTTCATCTTCATTAAAAAAGGTGTCATAAGTCCATGAACTTTTGGGTCACTTGTTAGGTATGGTTCCAAATCAAAATGTTTTTAAAATTGTATAATGATAATAAAATCTGTATGTTTAATAATATATTTATAATTTTTATAGAACCTTGAAACAACTAATTTGTGATAATCGTAAGCAACTATCAAATTTAATATTTGACTTTAAACTATCAAATTTATTATTTGGTGATCATCGTCAAACTATTTTTTTATTTTTTTTATAATTTTACGTAATTTTTCATGTTATAGAACATGATTAGGAGAAGAAAGAAAAAAACAAAAACATATTGAATTTCATATTTTATTTGTTTGAGTTTCATTCACAATGAATTTCGTATTCTTACAGAATCAACAGGTGCAGTAAACTCATTCTTTGAATTAAATTCATACTCATGAATTTACAAAGAATAACATTCTGTCATGGCCTCCATGTGTTCGATAAAATGCTTCAATGAAAAAATAGTTAATAATCTTTAATGTTTTTACTTCGATTTGTTCCTTATTCTTTTCAGAACTATATACCTTAATTTAGATTGGGTTGGATGCCCTTTTCATAACAAATAGGTTGATGCTAGTTCCTTATTCTGTCAGAATTTGTAGTTAAATACATTGAGGATATTGAGAAGAAACATAGGGAACCCGAAGAAGCAAAACAAGTTTTCAAATTGGTATGTGATGAATCGACAATTTAAAGACCCCTGGTAAACCTCATAATCCTCGATATTATGCAAGACCAGTTCATAAAGCAGCACGTCAAGATGCTTATGAGGTTGTTGATGAGATTTTAATGAAAACTATCAGGTTCGTCTTCTTTGTTTTTATTTGGTATTGAAAAACTTAAACTTTGATGCTTATCAGTTTTTTTTTTCTTGTAACATGATTTTTTATACATAAAGAGAAACTGAATATTCAAAACCATTCTGCAAGAATAGTGTATTCTGTAAGAATATTATTGTTGTATTCTGATAGAATTGTAGTTAATTATTTATATGTTTAATGTGCAGTTGTTACAATATATCACTACAAAATATTTGGCAATGAATTTGTGATAACAATGGCTTGAAAAATGGCTTGAAGACCTGATGGGAAATGCTTGAAGAATGAATCAAAGAATGATCACACTCACTGTTTAAGAATATTGTTATTTTTTAAGAATTACACTTGTTATTCTTTCAGAATGTTGTTATTATACAATGAATCACAATCATACAATGTAATTATTTGGTATATTATTAGTTCAAGAATTGATTTTGTGTATTCTTTTCAGAATGTATTTACTAGTTTATGGTTGGCATTATGTCATTCTGACAGAATAAAATCGAAAATATATTTACTAGTTTATGGTTGGCATTCTGTCATTTTGATAGAATAAAATCGAAAAATATATTTACTAGTTTATGGTTGGCATTCTGTCATTCTGACAGAATAAATTCGGATTTTTAAATTTGAATTAATTTAAAATATTCAGATTTTTAAAAATAAAGGAATTAATTATCCCTAAAAATCCGAAAATTTCCTTTTTTAATATAGGTTAATTGACTAAAATGCCCTTATGCTGAAATTTATGTGATTATATGGTATATGTTATCCTATTCTATTATCATAGACCCTCAGATCATGACCTTTGATTCTATTCCATCCAATGGTCCAGATCTGTGCATTCTGGCACACAATAGTTACTAGAAACAAAATAATCTAACCCTATATATATATATATATATATATATATGTATATATACTTATACTACTTTATAATACATAGATAATATATATTTTAAGACTAAAGTCTTAAAAACAAGGAGATGAATTTTTGGCCTTTGGATTTGATTCAATGGTTAGGATAGTGATCTATGTTAATAGATTTAAACCAATCAAAATCAAGTATTTTATGAAATGTATATTATCTATTCCATCAAAATGAACGGTGAAGATTTAATATATTGTAATCCTTCTCATCAAAAAACAACCAATCAGAAACAGGTACAACCCGAATGCGTGAATGTTGAATGGGTGAAATCTACAAAGAAATAAATCACACAGATAGCCAACTGGGTCGTTGATCTGCTACAACCATCCGACGATGTAAAATGAAAGCACACGAATCGCCCCATTGTTGTTCGTCTACATCTCTGCTTATAACCCCTCCTCAAACAGATCTCTATTTCCAGTACTCTCGAAACAAAAGCTAACAGCCGACACCAACACCCCTTACGCTATCCACCCACAATATTTGCTCTTTTCATATCGCTATCGTCTCTCCCCATTCAAAGCATGCAACATCAGCCGACATCAATACCAGTCGTCTCCATGTCGGCTCCTCTTCAAACTGCCATTAAGAACCACCATGACCTCTTCCACTCCCTTTATCACGTTGGAGAGCTTCTCTCCCTTCTTCGCTACAGATCTTGTCAAAAACCTAGATCTAAAAGTTGAGCTGCTACTAAAGAACAAATCCATCCTAAGGTTAGTGGGTTCGATTTAGTTTCTACCGGTTCTGTTAGGTTTAAATTTCTATTTAATTTCACATTTTAGTTTTTTTTTATACTCAGTTGTGTTCTTACATGTATGATTCCTAAAAGTTGTATTTAAGTTCTTGCAGATTCATTTTTTACTCATTTGTCTTCATTTGTGTTCTTACATGTACCACAGTCGCTGCCTTGCTCCAATACAGTTGTAGTTCCTTATTTTCTTGATTATTTTATGTATGCTTTTTGTTTGTTCTCTTATGGATTTCTACTTTAACCTAACCTCTTGCCCATGTCTCTGTATTATATTGAAGAGTGCAAGGAATATGTGGATGAAAGTAGAAACAGATTAGGCACATGAACTTAATGACTTTTAAAACTTTGAATTCTTAATAAATATGTTTGTTTCTTCTTCGATTCTGCTATTTTTCAAGCATTTAAACCATTTTTGCATTATTTCTATCTCATCTTTGTACATGGGTTTAATACATGTATCTAACAGGGCTCATGTCTTTTGTTTTTCAGATTTAGCTGACTTCATCACCTTCTGTTCCTGTATATGTTCTTGGACTTGCATTTTTTTTTTGTATATTTTGTTTTCATGTATTAATAAAAAGCTATATATACATGAATAAAAAAGGAATCTTCAACGTCTGGTCATTGTTTGTTTTGGGGTATGGGGTTTGTGGATATTTTGTTTTTTTACATCTCGGTATAAATGCAATTTATGTCTAAGAATTGAAAAAAATTGAGCATGAAGTTTTTAGTCTCTTGTGGAGAGATCATCTACACTGTTCCAATGAAAGTCTATTGCATCTCATAGATGCATAGGTAAAATTGAGCATGGCTGAGTGTTTTAATTAAATTGTTTTTGAAGTATTTTGGATTGTCTTAGGCCCCGTTTGATACGCATCTTTCCAGGTCCAAACAGATCTTTCTGGCTGAATGGACCGGAAAGACTGTTTGATTTGCACAAAAGAATAGGTCTTTCCCGGTAAGATATGTCTTTCCCAGAAAGCCCCAAAATCATATCTTTCTGGCTGAATGGGCTGGAAAGACAATTATACACCAAACCCCGCCTCTTTCTTTCTTTATTGGATTATTAATTTTTTTAAATAACTTTTTTTAAATTTATTTTTTTATTGAATTATTACTTTTTTTCATCATTCAGAACAGTCAATCAGATGTACAATCAAACAGCATGGTTTCTTTCCTAGTCAGAAAACTTTCCCAGACAGTACTTTACCCGACAGCACTTTCCCAGACAGAAACTATCAAACGGGACCTTAGTTTAGTTAGGAAACAATAGACAAAATAAATAATTTTAATGTCCTTAATTTTATTTTCTTTGAATCTCTCAGAAACGAAAGTAATGATTTAATTCTTTTATAATTTACAAAAAAATACGTTTTAATTTTACTTTTTAAGCTTCGATCCGTTTTTAGGTGTTAGTGTGCGATTTTATAGCTAATTAGTTTCATATTTTTTGTAAAACAAAATGTTACCCAAACAAACCAAAGCTTGATAGGGGATACTACAGAAGACAGATACGTAAAAAGATTTTTTACATTGAAAAACTATATATCTTCTATAAGAAACATTTACATCTAAATATAAAACATTAGATTTACGTTTTTAATAACTTTGAAATTATTTATAAAAAAGGTATTTTGAAATCGTATTTATGATATATTTGTATATGTATTTTGTTATTGATTTGATAGTTGGCTTTAATAATTTTTTTAGAATTATAAATAAGATTGATTTCACTATATTATATCAAAGACAATACAGATAAGATTTTCGTGTAGTTATCATAACTGTGACTTTTTATAGGATGTAAAATGGTTTTTTATTTAATTTTAGTGTTATTTGAAACTAGAATCTATCACTATGCTCTATTTCACAATGGTCACTATTTTATTAAATATATTTTAAATTTAAGACTCTAAATAATAACTATAAATAATCGTATATATTAAACACATCCTGATTCCTGTTGTCATGTTGTCATTATCTGTTCACCACAATATTTAAAGTTCTATTGATTGTTTTAGTAACTTTCGTTTTAACTTATTTTCCATTTTATCAAATTCTTAAATATAATTTATTGTTCAAACTTTGGTTTCATATGTTTTCTAATATATATTACTTTAATTCATATTTTCAAAATTTTATTATCTTTAATAAATTATATTTAATAACAAATCTTTTGAAAATGTTTAAATTATATGGGATGGCACTACCTGCTTCACTAAACCACCTGCTTCATTAAACCACCGTTTTGAAAAAAAATCAGTTTAATGAATTTAAAATTTAACAAAAATATGTAATATTAAAGAACGAAGTATTACAAAAATTAATGAATTATTTAAATCTTATAATTATGTGTCTTAAGTAACTTTTCAATTTATCCCACATCAACATGTTAAAAATATATAATTTGAATGGTCTAAATATTTGAAAAATGTTAGTTAATATAAATTTAAAAATTATATAATCTTAATAAAGTTAAATGTAATAATGAATGGAGTAAATGTTAGTTAATATAAAAGCAATAAAGATTTAAAATTTATATAATCTTAATAAAGTTAAATGTAATAATGAATGGAGTGAGTGATTGATGGATAAGTACCTATATGTATGAATTGTACAAGGAAGGGTTGTGTTGATTTCAAATTTAAATATGAATTTAAACTTTTTAAATGTAATGTGTTATTTAATAAGATCTTCCAATACATTAGAATTGATAGATAAATAAGATCAAAGTAGAAATGAAATGGTTTGAGTTTTATTATAAAATTGGATGATGCTCTTGAAAATTATGTTGTAATTTTTTTTTATATTTATTCTTTTTGATGTAACTCAAATTTAAATATATTTGATTTTTAATAATGATAAAACCCAGTTTGATTTTATCTATTATTAGGAAAGTTTTCCTTTAAAAATCAAATTATTAGTTTAGTTATAAATATGAATTATTATAAATATGAATTATTATTAGTCCTTTATTGAGTTTAATTGTTTTAGTGCAATATGAATTATTATAAATATATTATTTATACATACACTTTTATTTAAATATTTATATAAATAATTATAATAAGTCTTATTAAATCAAATATAAAAGAAATGAATTTTACAATACCTGAAACAAAACGCAAAAGAATGACAAAAAGAAGAAAAAACGATATATAATATAATACTTAACTTTTTACATGTTCATGTAATGTATAGTCTCGCAAAAAAGTTAACATTTTTATTTTAAACGTAGTTAAATATTTTTGTAATTAATATAACAAATTTTTACCTTGTCAATTCAAAATGGAATTTATCATCATCTAAACAAATGAAACTAATCGTTGTTCGCTGTTTGATAAAGACTAATAGACGGAAATTACTATTTGTTGTCCGTCTAGAGACAACTGATCGCCGAAAGGAACAAATCATCAGAATGAAACAAATCGAAACAAAATAATTTGACGACCACCGAAATGGCACTAACTTTCGTTTGGAAACTAATCGCTCGAATGAAACAAATCGCCGCCGCCGCATCGCGCGGGTACGCTACTTGTA